TTTCTGAGTTTTGTTCTAAAAATATCCGAAACTTGCAATAAAAATCGGAGCAGTCGATGTCATAGGTTTTATTGCTTGCGCTTTCTGACTGGGCAAAGATTGTGATTGATTGTTTCTGTTAAAGTTACGGTTTTGGAGCAAGCACACAAAACACCAAACTTGATTTTTTGGCACTTTTTTGAAAATCACAACTATTCACAGAAACAATCAATCAGCACCTTTGCTCAGTAGTAAGCAATAGAACCTATAGAATCGACCGCTTCAATTTTTATTAAGAGCTTCAGTTTTTTTACGACCAAACCCAGGAAGATCAAAATTTGAGTTATTTTCTGCAATCGCTTTTGTCTATACAGTTGTGCATACGTAGAGCATAACTTCCCCTTACATCGGAGTAGAGAGCAAAAAGTTATGAATTTTTGAAAGTATTGCGAAAGAATTTGTGCCAGTGTAATATTAGGTCATTCCGAAAGTAATTTCGCTTTTTTCAAACGGACGCCACATGTGATGGAACAAAGATTTCTAAGAGATCTTGGTAGCATTCGATGCAGAATTTCATCCTCTTTTTGAAAGTTATAAAATTATTGCAGCACAGTCAATGAGCTTTTGAAAAATTACGAAAGTCTGCGAACCATGCTTTTTAAGATGCTCAAGTTTCCCAATTTTTCTAAATTTTTACATCAACCCTCCGAAGAAGCTCAAGTAACGATTCGATAGAGCAAACCCTTCAGAGTACAAAACGATTTTTTTCTCTTTCACATAACTCCTCAAAATTTGTTATTAGAATTTTGATTGATGCTACCAATTTCCATTCTTGGTCAACACATCGTAGAACATCAAACGCTTAGCAGCTCGAGTGTCATTCGATGCAGCTTGACCTCCTCTTTCTAATGGATGTTTTTTGTTTTCTTTTTGTGAAGTTTTCGCGTACAAAATCATAAGATTCATATTTTCGAATGCGTTCTGGGCTGTACCCGGAAAATTCGAAATTAGACATTTCGATTCCGTAAACCCTCATTCGCTTTGCAAAATTGGTGTCAAATCATAACACCATCTTGGAAGTTCCAAATTCCGAAGATTTATTGGTGTTTGATGCGAATGTGGCTGACGTAGGCTTGTCAAAATTCGGTTGTTTTAATAATAAATCTTTTAAGAAATTATGGCGAGATATAAAAACGAGAAAAAAGTCAAGCCATATCCTATGAGGTTTGCTCTATCGAATCCTTACTTGAACTCCTTCGGAGGATTGATGTAAAAATTTAGAAAAATTGGGAAACTTGAGCATTTCAAAAAGCATGAATCGCAGACTTCCGTAATTTTTCAAAAGCTCATTGACTGTGCTGCAATAATTTTATAACTTTTAAAAAGAGGATGAAATTCTGCATCGAATGCTACCAAGTTCTCTTAGAAATCTTTGTTCCATCACTTGTGGCGTCCGCTTGAAAAAAGCGAAATTACTTTCGGAATGTCCTAATATTAGGTTGATTCATAATTAATGCACGCTTTTCCTACCTCTTTTTCCAAGAGCTAGTATTTGATGTGTAACCAATTTCCTCAAAAACTTTTTACGCTTGCTAAAAGAGCGTTTTTTCTAGTTTCTTATGCGTGCCTTCGCTTTCGTACATCTTCTTTCGTTCCAAATTTCAAAGCCTTCAAATGAAAGAGACTGAATCCCAAAATTTTTGCTTTTCACTTTTTTGCCCTAAATTCATGAGGAATGGCTGGATTAATTTTAAAAAATATGTATAAGGATTATGAAACTTTGTGTTACAAGATGCTTTTTGAGCAAAATATTCCATGGATTCTGAGCCGAGAAATTTAATTGCGAACTTGAGTGATCGTCGCGGCCCTTCCGTGCCATATAAAACTTTGAAGCAAAAGGCGATTGCAGGTCTTTTGCACTATCCAGCAAGGGTAGACCTAGTTGATTTGATGGTAGAAAAGCGCTAAGATTTTCTCACTTTCCAGCGGAGAAAAATGAAATTATTTCAAAAATGACCGATTTTTGAACCCGCCAAGATGCCAGAAAAAAGTGAGTACTTTCAACTTTTTTGCGATATTTTCTTTCAAAAATTTTCCGTAAAATTCAAACTTGGCGCTAATGCTCAGGAGACCCTTGGCTACACGATGAGCGAAGTCTGCTTTATCCTACTTCATTTCAGCATAAGTTATGCTCTCTCAAAGAAGAGGCTTTTGAAAAAAGTTGTTGGCAATCTTCAGGCCAGAAAATCTTTCTTATAACAGATACGGTCACGCAAAAGTATCTGTTTTATAGCCACTGATTTGATGTTTATAGTAGTTTTTATTGCGCCCAGAAATGTCTATTTAAAAAAAATTATCTCGGTTGAAAGTTGAAGTATAGAAAACGTGCATTAATTATGAATCAACCTAATATATCATACTGGGAATCCATGTCTGCCTTCGGATTCCTTCGATTTCTCGCCTTTCTCACCCGGAAGCCAGCGCTGTGCAGAGCTGCATCGGACGCGTCCTTCCGTATGAAATGTTTCAGCCTACATTCATTTGAACAGACTAGGTACGCAAGCAAAGCCTTCATATCGCGGGTGCATAGCTCCTACGTCGAGGAAATTATACGTATTGGCAAATTCTTATATATAAAGCCAAATGTCTGTCTGTATTTATGTCTGTCTGTCTGTGTGTACGTATGTGCGGAATAGAAATTATTATTTCTGAACCGATTTGAACCAAACTTGGCACAATTACACTTCGGGACGGAGCGGGTGTCATAGGCTACTTTTCCTTACCGATCGATATCGATTTTATCGATTTTTATCGATTTTTTTGAGAGTTCACCTGCGGGGCCAGGAGTTGGCAAAGGGGAGCATGGCGATTCCGATTACAATTTTGTTTTCTGGAATTGTCCATTACTTATCGATTTTATTGATTTTTGCAAAGTTCGAGCTATGGGGCTGGGAGTTGGCATAGGGGTTAATCGAGCATGCTGATTACGAATACAATATTAGTTTTTTGGTGTCACCTATTACTTTTATCGATTTTATCGATTTTCTCCAAAATTTGAGATGAAGGGCTGCGAGTTGGCACAGGGGGGTAAGTATGCATGCTGATTTTGAAAACAACACCGGGAACAGGAAATGAAGTGTAGAAGTGGGCACAGGGAAAGGCTGTACAAGGATAGGAATGGGACCTTTATTACAGTGTTTTGACAGGGCCGAGCGGAGCCGGTAAGCAAGTTAGTGCATAATATTTCTTGACGTCAACTTAGCGATTTTTTGATAATAGCTGCATCCTTCTTATTTTAAAGTGTTTTCTGTGACCCCGTTCTCTTTATCGCTTGGAATGCCATTTCCTGCAAACACTGTGAGATCTGCAATACCTTTGGAGAAAAATTTTCTCAGAAGTTTGGCTGATCACGCCCTTTCTCGCTGTAATTTAGGTAGCTTGCTGAAAGTTTTAGAATCTTGCCAAAAAGGGAAGGAAGTGGCTAGTTCCTTCTAATAATCTAAAGAGATTTTGAGTAAACCTAGAAAAATCACTGAGAATCTGAGATGCTAATATATAGGGTGAACGGTAAAAAATGGGACACTTACGAAATAAATTGAGATTTCTCAAGAAAGAGAAGTGATTAGACATTTCTATTTTGATGACAGATATTAGAACATGTTATTGTCTTTTAGATAATATCTATATAAGGTCATTTACATAATTAATAATTTTTACACTGGCTGAAATGCAAAGTTAATCACTTCGACAAATTATGACTTTGAGCAGTATCTGCGCAGTGAAACATGTGAGACCACCCAAAGTACCACTGCTGGAGTGGGTGGTGGGATAGTCACCAAACCCACAATGGCTTGGTGGCCTCAATTTCCAAAATCAGGAGATATGGCCATTAGCAGCTTCGAGAACGAAGATACGCGTTATTCAATTCCTTGCAGGTGAACACATGTTTTCTAGGTAGGATCTGATAGAGCTTTTTGCACTCTGTCCATCCATGTGCAGCTTGCCTCAGACTTCATCTATTTTCGGAAAATTTAGGGCAAAACATGATTTTTTGGTTTTTTATTGCGCCAAAATTAGCTACTTTTCAAGTTTTTTCGCTTTTTTTCTGAAAATGAAAAGAAGTCTTATGAATTTAACATACCATTTGAAAGAGCATGAAAAGCTCTTTCGAATGGTATGTCATATGCTCTACGACTTTACGCTATAGCAGCGCAAGATTGAGAATTGTTCCAAAAACCCTGTCTGAGTTCTTCACGGCGCCACGCGTACGGTTATGAGAGAGGAGCGGTAACGCGTTGCCAGAATAATAGGCGAAGGTCGATTATGTAAGCGACGTTTGAGTTGTAGCCTGCTTGCTGTCGGTGAGAACAAAAAACCTCAAAATGTAAAAAAAAAAATCAAGCTGTCCCATTTTTTACCGATCATCCTGATACATGTACATCGAGGACGGAAGTGCCGAGGCATTATTCAGCAAACCGGTAGAATGCCGTCTCCGGAGTAGTAGCTTAGTACGTTCTCTGCGTGCAAGTAGTTAAATGCAAAGCGTAGGCCCTGTTCTATAATGGTTTGTTGCACGCCGTAGCCTGCGGTCTAGCAAGCCTTGAGAATAACCTTGAGAGTTACAGCTGCGCTTGCTAATAGTTTCTCATTTACGGCAACTGTACGATTCCTCTTTGCTTTTTTTTCTGGAAAAACGATAAGCAGCTTGTGAGAATGCTACCTCTGCTGAGTCTGCTCTCCAAATCTGCCCCATTTCTACTACCATTTCTATTAGCGCCAGAAAGTTTAGCATTTTTTGGAAAAGAAATGTTGATTTCTCTGGTTGCGAGTCGTGTATTACTCTTACTTGCGTCATTCCTCCTACATTTGAGGGGACATAGCTATGGTAATGACGGCGCGAAACTTTTTATTAGTCTGTATTCAACACAAAATCTCTCGTACACGGAGGAAAATTATGTAAAGATTTTTAAGTTACTGCAGGTAGTTCCACACAAATATTTTAAAGAGAAAAAGTCACTTACTTATATTTTCGGCATTCGTGTACGTTGTACTACTAAAAAAGAGGAGTAGGTGAGTCTATAAAAGCTTGAGAATAGAAAGAGTGGGCGAAATACAAGTGAACTTACCGCTACTACTAGTAATAGCTCCATTTTAAATTTTTTCTCTCCACTGCTTTTATACCCCATCTCTGTGTACATTTTTCGGTGTTGGGCAGAGGAAAGCTATATCATATGTTATCATTTAGCCTCTCAACAAAAAATGGAACCATGTTGCGAAATGCTAAGTAGTGTAAACATTGCGATGGCGAAAAATCTTTGCCTTCTTTCAGGGATTTGATTGAATTGAATTGAATTGGATTTACTTGAAAGCATAAGTTTTGTATCTAGCGTCGGGCTGGTAGGATACACATAGTGCATAAAAGAGTTTACAGCGTTTCCCTACATTGATTCAGGGCGACAGCAAACTCCGTACTTCTTCTAACTGTTGCTCAAGCAGTGTCTCACTTAAGCCCCAAAAAACGTCCGCATTCACATTTGTTCATACAAGCCTGAATGGTGCCTCTATAACATAATGTCATATACTTTGCATTGACCTTTTCAAGCGGATGTCACTATCGGCTGAATCTGAGCTGATGTTAGACCTTGACACATCAAGATTGTTGTTTAGCTAGAATAGTGTTTCTGTTTGTTATGTTTTTTTGCGCCTCGAAAGTACTGCATAAATGACTAAACAAGTAAACAATTGGACCATGATCAGGGCTCGGCACCAGCTCGAACTCGGGAGATTTTGAAACATAGCCCCTTCTGAACAATCTCTATCGTAAGGGTGAAATCCTCAACACAGTTATCACGAAAATTTTAAAAAATCATAAGTGCTTTCCGCATCGTGTGCCGAACGCGTTCTGCTTCAAGGTCGGATAGTACTGGTCTCCGGTAGCACTTGTCTCCTCTCCTCAAGATCTCCCTTACTCACTTTCCTCTCCCCCCTCCTTCCTCTCCCCACCCAATCAACTCCCCTTCCCTTTTTCTGAGAGTGAGATATGTTCAACAAAAAGGAAACATAAAAAGAAAAAAGTAATTAAAAAGGCAAGCACAACCAAGGCCGAACTTCACGCTCATGAACCCAAGAGGTTTAGGCAGCCCTCTCACTTGCAACTTGTCCCATCGATATCGCCGCATGAATACTGAATTCCATGTTCAATCTATTCACTGGCATATCTAGAGAATGTCGTATGTATGTTGCAAAGTCCGAGATTTCGTTTCCAAGACATGTCAGAGCCACCTCGTGCCGAGCCCTGTTGTCTATCGCCAATCTATTAGAATCGCAGAAATGTTGGAGAGTGTGAAGACCACATGATCTTTGACTCAACAGATATTGTTGTTTTTTGAACGATTACGATTTACTGATTGGTTAAAGTATGAAAACTTTTTGATTTGCGTGATGGAGATGCTTGAATCGCTGCTTATGAATATCACATTACATCGCACGTGAAGAAATTCGGAAAGGGGTATACATCAAGAATAGTGATGTGTGATTTGGTAACGTTTACGTTCAATTGTTTATCACACGTTTATCACATGGGCTTTATCATATGCAAAGAAATGTTGCCTAGGATAATGAGTCATTGTACACCACGACAAGGCACAAACGGACTCTTACGCTTCGATCTTCGATTTTCACTTTCCTTTTTTGCCTTGTACGTATTCGATGAATTATCTAGATAGGACAAACGTCCTCTATGTTTTTGAGTGTCGCTTTAGCTGTAAGTGCAACGAACAACGAACATGAAACGTTTGTGTCTGTCTGCCGTAAAAACTGCCACACTTCCTTCTTCCTCTTTTCTTATGTCAACAAATGAGAGAGGGAGAGAATATTATATCAATAACGGCCGATGCTGAACTATGAATTATATATTTGTACATGTGCCACATGATAATGACGAAAACCTTGCAAAGCATACTTTACATGATAATTTTGCAGAGAAATCAAAAATTCAATTTTGAATCTCATGCCACTTTTACTCTTTGAAATGGGTGTGCCGTAAAGTCCAGAAGCAGACTGTCCAGATTAGCGGAACAGGTTCAAATCATGGCTCGGCACGAGGATGGCAGATGCTAAATCAAAAATCGTTTTGGGGGTAAGAAGCGGGGGGGGGGTAGATACACATTTACAGATATGTTATACGCGCTCCCCAGACAATTTACTACTTGAGATGTGCAAAAACGCGATTTTGTGCGTCATTTTTCCATCAATCAATTAATTAAATGTATCGTCTACAGCGCACATACAACCGTATGACTCCGAAATTCAAAGTATGGACAGAGGCTATGAGAAGCGCAGTGCAGAGTATTGTGGAAAAATATGTGATGGAATGTTGTGGTTTTTTTATATCTTTTGTTACGGATTCGTGGAAATATGACTCAAATATGACTAACGAAATATGACAACAGATAACGATATGGCACGTGATTTGGTGTGTATATGCGCGTGAGACTAAGCAACAAATTATGAAATATGAAAAGGTTATGTGAGTGAAGGGCATGTTTCACTTTTTTTCAAATCAGGGTGGCATATGCCATCCTGATGCTACCATAAGGGTTTCAAAACTCTTCCTTTTCTCTTTGTAAGGTCCGAATAAGCGACGACGGCGGTGCTCTTGGAGAGGAAAGCGCCCTTCAGTGAAACGCGGCTGGCTCAATCAACTCAGACATTCGTGGTTAGTCCCGCAGTAGATGACCGCAAAACGGGAGACCGCGAAGAGATTGTTAGCTTTCCATTCTCGCTTCACCTCAGTGGGCCATCCGCAGAAGTATTTTATCGGATTAGAATGATTGGTATGATATTATGCATGCTTTGAACTAATTTTTCGTGGTATTCTGACCGAGTCCTTCCTATTTTCCTTAGAGCTTCATCTAAAGTAATAGTTTCGAATGAAAATCTGTCTAATTTTTTGTAATAGATACATATTACAACACCAAGCTTTATACGGTTGTTTCAAATTCTATCTCCTCCTGTTTGTTCACTCTGTACATCGGTAAACAAATCGTGCGGATATCAAAGCGCGAACAATTGTCTCTGGTATCACAGTGCGCAAGGTTGTCAATGACTGGTTCCAACATTACCAATCACAGCTCGATTCGAAAAGTCGGTAGATGCTGTTGAGCGCATCTCGCATCCTAGTTAAACAATTCGATTTTTGAAAATTTTTGCTTTTTGCTATCAACCCTTGCTATCATCAGTTCGCTGGTATTTCTTCCGGAATAGCCGAAAAGGTTAGCTTCTAACTCGCATGTGCCTATAAACACATACTAGTCTCTTGCGAAGATGGGAGACAGTGACTAGTTTTGAGGGTGCGGGTATGGCCTGGACTTGTTTGCTTGAATCCAAGGCAGTGGGTCGGCAACCTTGCAACTGAGCGCTTTCTGTTTTTCCTTGACTTCTGGATGCGTTTAGAGCTCTGTTTTCTTTTTGCGTCATTGTTCTGCACCTGTACCACTCGCTAACCGTGTTCTGGCTATTTTTGCATGCATAGAAAAAATCAGCAGAATATTTATTATCACGCTAACAAAACAAATAAGAAAACTTTCTCATCAATTTTATTGGAATCTCAAATGTTATTGTAGCAGTAAAACCATCACAAATCAGTCTGTTGCAAGTAAAAGATTTGAAGTGTGTCAACAGTTTATGACACCGACGTAAGATAATCAAAAAGCCGTCTCACCAAATGCCTTGTGAAGACGCACAGCTTTGGTAACGAATATTTTTGTATGTAATCGGATACTAGCCGTCTGCAAGACGCAGTCATGGCGGATTAAAATCCAGTCACAAGTGTTTTGATTAGCTCTAATCACAGCTACAATTTGAGGCCATAACCTTTCCTATATGTCTCGTATGTACCTTTTTAAGAATAAGCAGAAGATAGATATGACATGCAAATCGGAATAGCAAAGCAAAGCCAGCTGCAAAGAACTATGGTTGTTTCAGGGCCGCATGCATGAACCTCCCTGCTGAGTTGAAAAATGCAGCTCAAAAAGCTTCACATCCTGGAGCTCCAGTGTCTTAAATTTCAAGTCTGAATTTGATTTACTGCCCTTCACTATGATCGTAATAAACGTGAAGGAAAAGCAGTACAGGCCGTATTTTTCAGCTTTTAGTATGATATCTAGATGATTCCCGGCTGCCCCGTCTTTTCCTGTAATTTCAAATTTGTACTGTTAGCCTAACAGCGCTAAGTATGTTTTTGAGAAGAACAATGTATTGATATATATTTAAACAATCAGGAATACACCCTTATTCGATGTATCGGATAAGGGCGTGTTCTTGTTTGTTTATCACATGTTTATCAAATGAGCTTTATCATTGTTGTGCAGCCGCACAAGAAACCAATGCTCGAGAAGAATGAAGGAAAATGTTGATCTGTTGTTTATGATATGTGATATAGTTGTGTGCACTATATATAGGCATTCCTTAGTAAGTATAGATTATTCTTAGTTCCTTGTCGTCAAGTAAAGAACTCGGTCTCCAGTCGTCTTCCTACACACGCCATGGCAAACACAACAACTGGCGATCAGGATGAGATTCGAACTCACGCGGGGATACCCCAATTAGCAATCCATTGCCTTAACCACTCGGCCACCTGATTCCGTAAATTCTCATGTTTTCCGGTGGAGGTTTCTCGTCGGGATATACGAAGGAGAGAAGCAGGGGAACGACTATAAGAATTGTGTTACACACTAACCAATTGCTGCTTCTTGTAAGAAGAAACAAGAGGAGCAGAGCTATCAACTTGGCCACAGATTCAACGTGCCATCCCGATGCATCGGATATTGTTTTGAGTCCTCGGGCAGTGAACCACTTCTCATTATGGATTCTGTCGTAAAGGATATCCGCACATGACGGCATCAAGCAACTGCTCCCGAGTTAGTTGTGAGTAAAATGCTCCTCCTCCTTCTCCTCTGTGCTCGAAAAAGAGGATGAGAGCAAGATATTCGGCAAAACCCGTTCAAAATCCAGTCAATTTGGAAGTGCCGAGGTACCTGTTTCTTATGATATTATAATTCAGGACAGCCGAAATCCGCGATTCTGGAAAAGCCAGACAAGTTCGACTTACTCGTTATCAGCAGTTCAATGAAGAGCCCGAAAGAATCGTCGACAACTTCCAGTGTCTGGTATTCAAGCCGAAAAG